GGGAGAGAGAGAGAGAGAGAGAAACATCAATGTGAAAGAGAAACATCAACTGGCTGCCTCCTGCACGTGTCCTGACTGGGGCCAGGGATTGAGCCTGCAGCAGAGGTATGCGGCCTTGGCTGGAATTGAACCCAGGGCCCTTCAGTCTGTGGGCCGACTCTAACCACTGAACTAAACCAGCTAGGGCCTCAAGAGTCCCCTTTAAAATGCAAATATTCTGGCAAAAGTTAGTCCGTTCAGCTAATGTCTTAGAGCTATATTTTGTAAAACTGTTCCAGTATCAGTGCTGGTATGCAAAACAACCTTACATATACAGGTGAACTTTTAGTTCTTTTAAAAATTCAATAGTTCAATATCTACTTCAGTGTACTTTAGGAACATATAACTATCATACCCAACCCACAATTTTGTAAAAAGTATTGGTTAGGGCAAGGAAATAATAGGTCATGAATAGTACTGGTGGCACACAAATAGGACAAAAATCATGAAAGTGGAAGAACAAATGGGAAACACTGTCTTTGAAGGATTAAGAGAGCTAGCTGAGAACCCAGTGAGAACAGGGAACATAATACATCCTAGGCGCTTCAGGCTCAGGAGCAGTTGCTAGGATAAGTCAGAAAGGCTCTGAAAGGGAGGTAGGAGGCTTGCCAAGAATAAGTCTAAAACTTTTCCTGGACTTGACCCAGGTTCTCAGGAAGGGCCAATCTCTTGCAGAAGTGGAGTGAATGGTGGTATTTGTCATGTGTTATAGGATAAGATGTAGGAGACTCTGGAGAGGTTTCTCTACTCAAATTCACTATATTTCCCTCAAATTTTACATTGTCATATTATCCAAACATCCATTTAAACTTAGTTGTGTTTATAAACTCTTTTTAAGTTGTAGATACTCTTGGGAGAGCTGTCAGTCATTCACAATTTAGTAAGATCTATATTCAGACTGCCTTCCTCCGAGCACTTAGCCTGAAATCAGCCACAGCGTGGTGGTGGAATTTGAATGAGTAGAAGCAAGTAAAGGGAGGGGGGAAGGAATAGAAAATGGTGTGTGTGCAGGGTGCAGAGGTGAACAAAGTGCTAACGTGGAAGACAGAGGTTTGAGGAAGGTGCCCAAGACCTTCCAACTGGGCTTCCTTCTCCATTTCATCAGGTTGGCCCTGGAGGTTAGTACTGGAAATAATTCTGCCTGCAGCAGAGCATTAAAAGGTGCTCTTGTTGAAGCCTCAGAGAACCTGATCAAAATGCCTCATCGCTTTCTCTGAAATCCTCAGAGAAAGTCCATTTCCTTTATAGGAGAAAGGCCTATATTCCCCAGTAGCAGACAAGCAGGAAACTTACCTAGTTTGACCACAAAGTTGATAAATCTCTGAATACAAAACTGGAAGGGAACAAACAAATCCATAGTCAGTATGACTGAGCTGTGATGATGATTTAAAGAACTTAGAGGTCAAATTACAGAAACCCCAAACCAAAAAGGCCACACACCTTAGTTTTCTGAAGGTCTGTCAGAATGCAGAAAAACAGCCAAGTGAGGATGGTTGAGAGCCATCCAGGACCCACGCAGAAAAGAAGCTCCAATGACAGAATTGTGCGATAGAGAGTTAGGATAGGGAAGAAAGCCTTTAACCCATCAAGCTTATGTAGGTAAACTTATCAGATAGTGCAGTTATTTCCAAATGGGTACACTAACCTCTGGGGTACTTTCCAAGACACCTTAGGAGCAATTGGCCAAGGCAAAGATTTATGGGAATCAATGTCTAGACTCTCAACTTCCATAAGTGCTAATTTCTAAAACTGATCAGAGTAAGAATTCACACACAATGGAGGTGTGGGTTGTCCTTTCACGGTCCTTTTTCTCCCACTTTTGACAAAATAAAGACATACCTCCCACATCACTGCCCTGGGACACCTCTGGGAACCAAATAAAGGAGCAAATCAACATGTTGGTATTGGCATCGACAAAGGAAGTGGCCAAGGGTTCCTCTAACTAATGGATAACGAGTTCTCCATAAAAATCAGAGGTTTTCAGTTTTTGCCTCCAACAGTGCTTTCAATGTTGCCACTCAGGTTGTCAGCTGAACATCAGTAAATGATTGGGCATTCTGATTTTTGGAATGTGACTCAAAAAGAATTGAGTGGCACTGAGATAAAATTTCTTCCATTCTTATCTCGTAATTTACACAAATGGTTTCATAGCGCTTATTTCTCTAAAAACAAAAACCAGAAAGAGTATTGATGCTGAACCTTAACTCAGCAGTAAGTAATATTCATCCATGATTTCATGAACTAATCCATATATAAAAAGACTCCCATCCACCTCATTAAGAGATGCATTTTCAATAACATTTTACTTTTATCTTGTTTTCATCAACTGTATACTAGTGATAAAAAATCAGTGCAGAATAAAATTTAAATATCCAGAGCCTTACAGACATATATGTATATTTTTTCCCTCTCACACCCAAACTATAGCACATCACATTCACAAGTCTGTACCTTGCTGCTTTTTTTTTCTCCACTTAATATATAGTGAATATCTTTCTGGACCTGTACATATAAAACTATCTCATCCTTTTAAAGTGCTATTTGTAATTTGATTGTGTAACTCAAATATAATGTATTCAACCATTTCCTTATAGATTGGTATATGGGCAGTTTCCATCTTTTGCTATCATAAATCTACTGGAAGGAATATCTTTGTACATGAGTTATTTCACTTATGTAAATATAACAAAATGGATTTAAGTCCCTGAGAATGACTAAGGTTAGCCCTAATTTGCTACTTGGCTGCCTCTTTACTCCACTACAAACTCCTTTAGGGCAGAGACCAGCTTTACTGAAATATGCACTCGGCTCAACCCTTGGCATATGCGTAGATGAGTAAACGAGACCCACTTGCCTTCCATAAAAAGAAACAGAGAATGTGGTAGACTGACTTCCTTACCAATACTGTTTTGAGTAGGATAGTTTATTTGAGTGGGACTAAGGGGAAAAAAAAAAGAGACGGAAACTGGATCAGCCAAATAAAGGAACCACTAAGGGTCCGTATCGCAGCTGGTACAGAGCTTTCTCCAGCCTATGCTTCCCCTGTCTTTCAGCTCAGAACAGATGGGAATTTTCAGAAATAACTTATTCTGGGAAACTAAGGAAAAAGAAAACCATGAATGCAAAGGAATGGCAGAGTCCTCACAATTCAGACTTCTTACCGTAATTTAAATCAAAGTCTTGTGGATTTAGTTGAATTTAGTTGGCATAACTTCCTCAGTCCCTACCCTGTTCCTGCTCTCAGCTTCACCTGGTCTGGGGCTGACCAAAGGTAAATATTTAAACTGCGGTTTAAACTTTAAGTAGGGAGTAGATTTAGGCTGGCTCGGTGTTCAAGATAGGCACCTACTCTGATCTTGCTTATGTTTTCCATCCCCACTTGGTTTCTTGGGGTACCCCTCTCGGCCACTCATTATCCTGAAAATCCCTGTGCCTCTTGGCCTCCAAAAGTCTTTCTCTTGTGCCAACTCTACTTCTTTCCAGCTCATTCCATTTATCTGAGGTACACACTACCCAGCTGCTGAGACCTGTTCTACCCAGCAAGGCTCTTTTTCCCCCCGTACAGCTTGGTTGTCTTCCATGTAACATTCATGGCAGCCACCATTTCCCCTGGGCTCCTCCCTATCACACAGGAACTCCTGCTGCTTTTCTTTTCCTATGTCAAAGCCAGGCTCCTGTTCCCTGTTTTCTGTTCTCAGCACATTTCCAAGGTGAAGGGGACTGACCTGCTCTGACTTTGAATTAAGTCTCCCAATTTTTAGGTCACCAGCTTCACAGCTTCTGGTGACTCAAGTGTGGCATCCTCAAGCAGATGACATGTGGGCATTTCCCCAGAAATCTACTACTATTATTTTATAGTCACAAAAATGCTTTGAACATAAGGTAAAAATAAGATCATTTCTAGGAGGAACAGAGAGGAGTCATTCCTGCATGGGGCCTGTCCTATTTGACATGTAGGGGCCACAAACAATGGGGACAGGTTTGATTTTCAACAAGAGAAAAGTGAGAAACAGAAGGAAAGGAAAGAGAGAGGCAGCTAGGCAATTTTACTGAGAGCAGGTATGGTAGGATGAGAGGGACTAAGAATTCTCAAGTGGGAAAGAACCCAGGCTGGGATTTAGGTGAAGGGAAAAAACAGTTAACCTGATAATTCAGGGCTGACGAGAAGTCCTTCCGTTCATAAGCCTCCAACATCTGGTTTGTCTTTTTCCCCAGGTAGTTATAGGTACTGAAAAGAAAACAGCACATGCTGTAGAACCAATAACCCAGTGGGAAAGGTCCAGATCTTCAAACCCCACTGCTGCTTCCAAGGAGCAAATACACAGAGCTTCCAGGTCTATTTTTAGGCCCTAACCTATTAGAGAGTCAGGTGTCTTCAGTTCTGGGTTTTCTGGCAGCACTAAGCAATGCCAAGAGGAGGCAGAGAACAGCCAAGTGAATAAAGAAAATGAAGAAAAGTGGGGAAAGGATAAAATTAGAAAAAAGAAGAAGAAACTGAAGGATGGAGGTGTGTTTAGTAAGGAACCACTGAGGCCAACTCCTGCCCCAGGGCGCACAGGGGCCCAGTGCAGGATAAGAGCTGTGGGTAAAACGTGCGTCCTAAAAGCCTTATGCTGAAGGGGGCACCAAAGTCAAAGGGGCAAATCCCAAGGGATTACCTAAATTCCTTGACAATTTATATATTAGAAAATAATAATGACAATAATAAAATGAGAGGCCATTTATGAAGTGCCTATTATATTCTAGGTGCTTGACATAAATCATGTTGCATTCTCTCCATGCTGTGCAAGGTAGGCCCGGTTTCTATTTCGCTGTGATGAAGTCATGGCTCAAGAAGGGCTACAGAGTTATCATGAAGTTTCCATCACTTCATGCCCTCTGTTACAATCCAACTCAAAAGTTATTCGATCTGATGGTCTTGTGGACTTAAAAAACAAGTTCTAACTTTAGTAATAGAGACAAATACCTCTGACTAATCACTAACACCTTAGAGAAACCAGAAAGATAGGTTATACAAATTTATAGCTAGAATGTTTCCCCATTTGTTAACAACGTCTTGTATAGTAAGTCAGTATGAGAAAATAAGCTTATCTTGATGTAACAAGAATAGAATGTCCATGTATGTAGACACTGGAGTCAATAGCAAGGGATTCCAAGAACGTGGAGGTCATATTATTGTCTGGTAATAAAGGGAAAAAAAACATCATAGCTGAGAAAAGTCACTTGTAGATGTGAAATATCCCTAAGTCCCAATATGTACATGGATGTCTGAGGAGTTTCAGGATACAGAACTACATTCAAATCCCAGGGGTCTTAGGTATGACCTCAGTTAGACAGAGAGGAACCTGATTATAATTAAGAAGACATGAAGTCTAACCAAATGCGCTCTGCTTATAAATTACATTAACAGAATTAAAATGTCTAGTATTGAGGCAAAAAAAAAAAAACAAGAGTCAAAAAAGTCACAATTTCCAGGAGAGAAAAAGTTCCACGGTCAGCAGATGCAGGCATTCAGGTTTCCTTGGTAGAAATGGCCCTACAGTGACCATGGAGACCCTCCTGGCTTGTGAGCGAACAAGCCATTAAGACCAGCTAACTCAATTACTCTTCATCAAAGCCATGCTCACCAAGACACCTTGTGACTATTACTTTGCTTCCCCTGTAGTTTCCTGCAGGGAAGAGAGGCACTTTCAGTTAGTGCAAATATTTCCATCAGTCTGCTTGCAGGCACATTTCTAATGAATTCGGTTAACACATGCAGTGGACATGCTAATTGAATTGCCTGCCTTCCCTGAGCCTTCTGCTGAGTAGGCATCGGGCCACACGATTCTACTATCCTGGCTGCAGATGATAGGACACATCAGGTGGACACGTGACTAGGGATATCCTGAGATGCCATGTTTGGGCAGCCACGGTGGGCCACGTGTGTTCGGAAGCAGAGAAAGTCCATCTGGAGAGAGAGAGAGAAAGAAAGAGGAGATAAAGAGCTGTGCAGAGAGATGCAGAGGGGAGCGTCTCCAGAGGACCACAGATGGAGAACGAGCTGCCTTGGCTGCTGAGAGCTTTGTAGGTCTGAATCTTCGTCTTCTCTTAGGCCTAGCTACACTTCCTCCTCTTGAGTTTTATATAATTTCCTAGGATTTGATAACAACATCTCAGTTCACATAAGCTAGTTTGAATGGGTTTCTGTTATTTGTAACCAAATAAATTCTGACCAAGAAATTCTGTGCACGCTCTCAGCTCGTGTTCCTGACCTCTGACTGCTTCTAATAACAACGACAGAGTTGCTAAGCCCTACTCAATTCCCTCTCACTGAAAAGATTGTGGGGAAGAAAGCCTACTTAATTCCCTCTCATTGGAAGATTGTGGGGAAGAAAGGCAACTTCTAAAGAAAAGGTGTACACACAAGAAGTATTACTACTTAGGAGATGAATGCCTCTATGGGGGGGCTTTACATTTTACATTTATACATGTGTAACCACTGGGAAAAATGAGTCCTGCTTACCTGCCCACAGCTCCAGTTGCTCCCATCACCAGAGCACTCAGCAGTTGCTAATCAAAAACAGACAAGGAGTATTTACTTTTATGAAAAGAGAGATAAGATGCTACTATATAAGCAGCTCCAGAAATTGTTTTGGGAGGAACTAACCTGTGGGATATGCCAAAGGGTGCCTTACCTCATCCACCCCGAAAAGAAAAGCAAATTGTCGCTGGCGATTCTGATCAACACACTGCCCAAAGTCTAAGAGATCTGTGTCGCTAAATTTCAACCCTTGGAAGGTGGGGATCTTCTCCTGAATCCCATCCAACAGCTCCTCAGCACGAACTGCTCAAAACAATGAATGCCTCATTAATCTGCCCACCTCCAGAAAATATCAAATAACATCTCATGTAGCCCCATACATATGCATTGAGCTGCCAGGAGCTAGTCTCAGCCTTAATGACTGCAGGTTGGACATGACCCCTTGCCCTCTGCCTAGCAGGACTTATGTACTTGTCAAATTATAGCCCCAAGTCTTCCGTTCCTTGAAGACTGTCGATGGATATTTATGGATCACAACTTCTATTTTTATTTTTAAGAAAGTTAGGAATGGAATTTAAAAAATAATCTCCTTAAAGTTTTCCTTTAATTGTAACAATCTTCTCACTGGAAAAGTATAGTAATAAAAGAAAAACTAGAAGTGAGAAAAGGTCAGAGTACCCTTCTATGTGCCAGGCACTGAGAATACAGTAGGGCACAAGGCAGACACAGTCCTGTCCTAGTGGGGCTTCCAGGCTGTGCCTTCCCATATGAGGAGGAAGGGTGTGTGTGATAGACACAAGGTGTCTGCTGGACGTGCCTGTGGGTCAACTCCTCTTTCATACTTGACTTCCATTATAAGGTGGTGTCAGTGATTGACAAGGGCTGACTTACTTTTTAAGAATGACTTATTTTGGAGTAATTGGAACCATCTAGTTAACAGTGTTATGCTTTCATGCCATGGGGTGGGTGGGA